CATACGAAGCCCTTATGAGCACTTTCTATGTACTAGGTACTGTTTTAAGCATTTTATATATATCAAATAATTTCACTTTCTACAAGGAAGGTTATTCTTACTTCCATTCTACAGATGAGGAAACTGAAGCACAGAGAGGTTATACGACTTTTCTATGACCGGAAAGCTTGTAAGTGTCAGAGTTAATACTCAAACCTAACCAGTGTGACTCTAGAGACCAACTTCTTAACCACTACTATTTGAAATTTATTTATCTGTGATTAATGTACAATATACATAACAGTCACTGAGTTCTTCTGCTCATATTCACATTTTTGACACCTAGAAACTAAAGCACAAAATACGTAATAGCAAACAATTATAATGAGTGTTACTTTTACCTGCTTAGACCTATTTTAGTGGCATACAGAAAGGATAGCACCCGTACTTAGGTGGTTGATGGAAGCTTGAGAGAGTGTTCTAATGTAGGATTAAAATACTATAATACTCAAATATTATACTCAAACCATAGCTGAAAATAGAATGAGGTCCACAGTGAGGTAAACAAAAGTAGTTCCAATCTCCTTCCATGAATACACTTTCTTGTTAACGCAAAGAGCAGATGGACAAGATGGTTCCATAGCAGTTTCTTGGCTTAAATAAGCTATACGAATAACAAGACTGTTTCAATCTTTACTAATTTATAAGATCCATTCTCAAAGAATTTCTGTCCAATTTTCATGTCAAAATGAATAACCTCATTTCACAAGGAAAGTAAACTGCTAAAATTATTAGCATACTACAGATCACTTCTCATAAGGTATCCATCCCTAAGAAAGAGCTGCTTTGTTTTTATAATGTCACATGTCACTCTACTTTATACTAATTACTTGTGTAATGTCTACCTTTCCTGTCAGACTATAAACCAGGGGGTCACATCAATCTATTCAAGAGTATGTCCCAGTGCCTAGTGGAGTGGCCAATATATAGCAGGTTCTCAGTAAGAATTTACAGAATGAATGATTGGGATTTGCTCTTCTACCTCTTGTTTATTCAGTAAAGATCCCACCATAAACAGCAGCTTAATATTGCTAGTAATATCTATTTCATATATAATTTATATATTAATATCATGATGATTCTTATTACTACATGAATTTTTAAAGATATACTACAAATTCCTTCAAATAAATCATAGTGATTTATATCAGCAAAAATCCCTTCTTAAACTGTTAGACTCTTAAGTTTGACTTGATCTTGGGAGGCATCCCATTTTATTTTCCACATTAAAAGTTCTTTCTTATATTGAACTGAAAATATTTTTTCTGCCCACAGCCATAAACAATAGCTTTTATTAAAAATTTATTTTCTCATTCAAATTTCTAATTCCATGCCATTGTTAATCCTAATTTATGTCTTCTGACAGTAGTAGCTCCAACATTTAAAACAGTAGTCATTGTATTACATTCCAACATATATTTGTATGTGCATACAATCAGACACTCCATTATTTGCTATACTGAAAGGTAATATGGTTAAAAATTGATGACTATTAATAGACTTTTGTTTGCTTAGAAACAAAAGTAATTTTTAATTCACTTCAGTAAAAGAAACGCTACGGACCACCCTCCACCAGGGGTACTTACATATCTACGTGTTTTTAGTATCTTCGAGTGGCTAAACGCCTAATGTTCCACTTGACATCATGGACTAATCAAAGCTAACTGCACAGCATCATAACAAAAACAAAAATCCAGTGCCACTGAGTTGATTCCGACTCATTGTGATCTTATAGGACAGAGAAGAACTGCCCCAGAGGGTTTCCAAGGAGCAACTGGTGGATTCGAACTGCCGACCTTTTTGTTAGCAGCTGAGCTCTTAACACTGCGCCACCAGAGCTCCCTAGGACCAAAAGGAACTGTCAAGGAAAACTGAATGTCATGGACAATTACCCAGCAAGGAACATTTTCCTCAAGACACTCCTAGATGGAACATATGGGAGAGACACCGTCCTCCCAGCACTGACAAGAACTACCTGGAGCTGACCAGCTCTGGGTTGAGATCCTACAATCAGAACACCTGACAGTCAGCTTGGTGACCTGGAGTCCCTGGATGCTGCCAACAGTTAAGTGTACAACTACTAGCTGGAAGGCTGGCTGTTCAAACCCACCCAGAGGTGCCGTGGAAGACATGCCTGGCAAGCTGGTTCTGAAAGCTCACAGCCTTGAAAGCCTCATGGAGAAGTTCTACTCTGCACACATGGGGTCGCCATGAAATGGGGTCGCCATGAAATGGGATCCAACAACCACAGTAGGAAAAAGCATATTTGGAAGTCACCACAGAGATTAACTTCAACATAATATTTTTCAGGAAAAAGTTAACAATTGACCTAATTTGAATTTTGCCACTTGAAAATGATTTATACTCAGCTAATATTTTAAATAGCTTACATATTTCAGTAGGAAACTAGGGTAAGATTATTTCTATTACAAAAGTAAACTTTTCTAATTTTAGTTTCATGCTAGATTATAGGCTCTGACTCAATTCATTTATACTATCAGCTGAATAAAGAAAAGCTAGTCTTTAATGAGAGTTTTAAAAAATGTTGACAAATCTAACATGTGAAGATGACTAACCCCATTACTTTTCAAGTATCATTAATGTCTTTTCCTTAGACCAGATTCTCTGTGTCCAACAGACAGAGTATGAGCATTAGGCGTCTAAAAGTTCTATCATTTTACTTTCCAAAATTTTAATAAATATGTTTTAGAATAAATTCATGAAAAATGGTTTAAGAGGCTTGATTTAAAATGAAATCTACATTTTGCAGTCATTTTTTTTTTCAAAAAGGGATAAAAGTTGATTAAGGAAATCATACTACCATTAAAAAATGTCTGCATGTAACATATTTTAATGATGTAAAATGTGTGATAAACCTCTGAATTGGCTTGGTATTAGAACGGAATGGTTACTGTGGAGAAGACAGCAGTTATTTCATGGTGGATATCCTTTAATTAACTTAAATTCAGTTAAAGAAATCAGGGTCCTCATTGACTGCATTCATTCCTGAGATGTTAAAGGATCACATAAGAACTTCTCTCCTGTAAGTGAAAATCTGACATAATAATGCTGCTTTGACTAGGCTTTGTTTTAAATTCTTAAGAAATCTAAGAAAATAGCCTAAACCAAAAAAAAAAAAAAAAAAAAAAAACCAAACCTATTGCCATCTAGTCGATTCCAACTCATAGAGACCCTACAGAACTGCCCCACAGGGTTTCCAAGGAGCAGCTGGTAGATTCGAACTGCTGACATTTTCGTTGGCAGTCAAATGCCTAACCTCAGCGCCACCAGGGCTCCAGAAAATAGCCTAGCAACATAAAAATTTTCTTTTCTCCATGCTTAGAATTTAGTCTTTCTACATGCCTTGCTAGAAGATATTCATTTAAAAGAATTATAAACTTCAACATTTCATAATACAAGTTATCATTTCACTTTAAAAAATAAACTTACAGAATGTGTGGCTTCTGTGCTTTACCTATAAAACAACCATATTGCTTCTATTCTCACAGCAACTTATACTTTTCCATAGGTATCAGTCACTGTTGCAGTTTTACATTTGTCTGTTAATTATCTCATTGAAGTTTGTCTCTCCATTTATATCGGAAGTTCAAGAGAAGTTAGGATACAGCTCTGCTTTTAATTGCACCATTTTATCCTCGGCTCCTAGCTGAATGGATGGCATGTGGTAGATACTCTATAAAATGTGAATTATTGGATAGATGAGCTGGAGCACAGATGCTGCCATCAAAAGTACTTAGTTCCCTATCAACATCTGAATGCTTGCATGACGACAGATGCTGTGTGCTGTGTGCCTGTCAAATGTGCTATTCCTGATTTGTTTGTTATGAAGCTCTAGGAAACAGCTAAGAACATAGCTAGATTCAATTAACATTATTTTGATATCTCTAATTAGGAAAGAGAAATTATTCAAATAATTTCAATCTCAAAAATTATAAGTGTGACAACAGAATGGTCAAAAGAATCACAACCTATTATTAATATCCTTATCTTCATCAGCCATTATCCGGTTACCACAAAGCTACTTTGTCCATGGAGACACTCGAGGAAAAACTCTGATAAACACTGATTTTAGATTTCATCATTTATATGCTACTATCTCTGCTCCTGTCCAAAGTTAGCATAACCAATTACGGATCTGGTAAGACACAGATGTCAAATAAGGGGATACTGTAAGAACCAAATACTTTCAGGATAAAAATATAAGATTAAGGTTATTTGGAGCACGTAAGAATATAGGCAACTGCCTGACTTTGGGAATTGTGTTCTCAGTGCAAACATGTAAAGCAGAGCAGAGACATCCGATTTTATTACCAAAATGTGATAATGTGAAAATTATGAATACTGTTATTCTGCTTCATTAATATTTTGAGAATTTAATATTTGCCACAGAGTGGAAATGATATATTTTTAAAGATCTAATGAAAAACTAAGTGATTCTTATTATATGATATTATATTTCTTTCTGTCCTCCTCTCTATCATTTTACAGTAAACAACAAAACAGTGTTCAACAATCTATCACAAAATTTGTAAGATTTACCTCTTTACGTAAGAAGCATCTGTGAAACTGAACTGGTAAATTCGGTATGGTATAAATATTTTTTGAAGTTAAACTTTATTCAAGCAATATTTATAAGACTGCTATTTTTAAAAGATAATTAGCTACAGTAGAACTACAAAAAATGAATCTGTTAAACTGGATGTGGACTGTAACTAATTTTTTGCACTTTGAGTATTATTTTCTTATCGACATCAAGTATACAAAATCTCTTATCTATAAAAACATACTTTGCATTTATTTTACTTAAAAATTAAGACAAATTCAAACATTTAGCATTAATTATATTCTAGATTTTAAAAAGCTCTAAAATTTTAATTCACATACAATAAACTGGTATGTTTTACACACACACACATTATAGTTTAAATGAAAACTCTTACCATTGATTTCCTTTTGACAGTCACTCCATTAGTCTTTCTTGATAGGGCCTTCCTATGTCAAGCGGACAGTAGCCAAACCACAAAATGGCATTTGATGCTCACGTCTTCAGATAGGAGTTTTCGGCCAATTGCCAGTTGAAAATTTAAACTGAAAACTAAATTACCCAAACTTCATTAAGTTGTTCCTATACACACCAACAGATAATGAACAATGACTTTAAATTGGAAAATAAAGTGACTATTGATTTACCTTCCTTCAAGCAGACATAACATTATGTTTGAAATAAACGCTACAAACCAGAAAATAAAAAAAAATCCTCTAGAATTCTAATATTTTCAGAGAATAGTTTTAAGTAAACTTCAACTCCCTTCCCCAAAAAAGTTCACTCAATTATTGTGCAATCCAAATTAACACATGATAAAGATAGTATTTATTCAATGATGTCTTACATACTAGAGTCATAACTTTAAATTCTGTTAAACACTGACTCCACCTAAAAACTAACTGTAATATTTGGAACCCCTTTCAGTATCACCTATAGTCATAAAATATTAATTAAATCATCAACTACTCATAATAGTACATACCATTAAAAGGTTAAAGGTTACAATGAAGAGACACATCCCTGTCTGTAAACATCATTCTGCTTAGAGAAGACAAAATTAATGGTTATCGTATTTTAATTATAGTGTAAAACCGACTCAGCCTCTTTTCTGTACTAATTTGTGCTCTTTTCTCTCTTAATTATGATTAATTTGTAGAGCCTGATAATTATGTACAAATTTTGACCATTAGTCTTTATGACTGTTGAGTTGTTCAATCTCTTTTGATGCTCCTCAGATATTAGATATACTAAACTGTTCCAAAATGTTGTTAAGATGTACCTTAGAGCCCTCGTATCATTTCTGCCCGAGCATAAGTTAGCTCATTTCAGTAGTTATTATTGATCCTGACAATTTCAGTCTTTAATATACATACAATACAGTAAATCTAAAATGAAAACATGAAAGAAAAACACGTCCTTATCTTCCTAAGGCATCATGCTTACTATTGATTAAAAATTGCTTCTAATGTCAACTATAACAGGTCTACAATTAAATGCACATAACTAGATAGCTGTGTAAGACCCAGATCATTCATATTTCTAACTACACCCTAAATTCTCACACTCACTCTCTTCTCTCTCCAGTCTCTCTCTCTCTCTCTCACACACACACACACACACACACAGACAAGCATGTGTACCAGCACATGCATATCTATTCAGCTTACGCCCTGTCTTGACACAGATGTTCCCCTATTAATAACCAGAGACAAAGATATGACTTAAGAGAGAATATAAGCTGAATAACCAACTTATAGTTAAATCAAGAAAAACTGACTTCAGAAACAAAGCCTAGAGTTTAATAAAAATGCTATGTCTTCGAGTTAATCACACTGACCCCAAACAGTCCGATATCCTAGAAACAGGCTTATTCCATCCTACTCAATAATTTGAATCCAAAATCCTCAATAGCAATAACGTTTATAAACTATTCAGCAACTAACAGAGCTGTCTTGGGTGCTAGGAGATATAAAGGAAAGTTTAAACTCCTCTCTCAAAGACTTTAGAATCTAAAAGTCGACATGGGAAGAAGAATCAGCAGATAAAGACACGTGAATGGCTAGATTCCCAAGACAAGCACCACTGGGACGCTCAGTCATCTGAATAGGCTGTCACGTGTGGAGCTGATCTGAGACTTTATATAAAGAATCATTTTTTAAAAAGTCAGAAAATGTACAATCCTTTACTTTTATTTAGCCTGATGAAAAAAGCCCACAAAGCCAAAAGTGGTTCACCACAGAGTATGGCTATGGAAGTATTCATGTCCTCACTCGGGAAGAAGATGACAGAGAAATTCCTTAGCCAAAGGAAGTCACAGAACATGTAGATATTTAAAAATCAGGTTTTCAGTAAGAGAAGCAATTCTAAATTTGTCCACATCACTCATCCTGAAGATCCCTAACATCATGGTGGTAATTTAATTTTTAATATGGTAGAGATAATCCTGAAGAGTGACTATTTTAAGTTAACAAAATCATGAATCAAAAAGTCTAAAACTATGCTCAGTGCGGATAACGTTCCCAATAGTGGACCTACACAACAAAGCTAGTTTCACATTCCAGCAGATGATGAACAGCAGGCGACCTGTCAATGTGCGTGTCTGCATAATCTTAAACATATTCTACTAATCCTCTTGTTAAGAGTTGTAGAATTTAATGCTACCCTTCATCTTACAAATGAAGAAAACAGGTCCAGTAATATGACATTACTTGCCTACAGTCACAAAGTGAGTCAGCAGTAAAGTCAAGGCCCCTTAGGAACAACATGAGCTTCTTTTACTGGGATCAAGGAGAAAAATACTTATACCTGAGAAAGAGCTATCATTTTATTAGGAAAATTTCAGCTTTTCAACCTCCATGCTAAATCTCAAACATACAGATAATCAATCCCAAGGAATGCACAGAGCCAATTCATAAAGTTAGGGAAAGAAAGGTATATGATTACGTTAAGCCTGATACCAGCCCTTTTTATACTACCAAGCATTTAAGTCTTACACCTAAACTTTAGTATGAACCTGAGGTTGAGGAATATATAAAATTTTATCAAAACTCTCTTTAAAAAGAAAAAAAAAAAGTTCACTAGACTTTGTCATGACGTCACATCTGTTTTTCTTTCACTTTCTAGCGTCCGATTTTATCCAGTTTTTTTACAGGACTATCTAACAATTTAAGCATGCCACACAGATGAGAAACAGTCTTACATTAACTCCTGCAGGTCATATAACTCATCCCAATTATACAAATGGGCAGTAAAAGAAGTTCTGAAAATTTACAAATGGGAAATATAAAAAGAAATAGTCAAAACACTGTTTTAGTTACAAGGAATAAAGATAGTCACTAACTCAATTTAGATTCCATTGTTTATTCAAAATCACAATTCACAAGATGTTTCTGTAGTAAAGTAAAACATGCTTTTTAGTTCAACCAGTCTTAAAAGTCAGAACTCGCATAGATGACACCTAAAATCATTCACCAAAACTCTTTTGAACAGGCAACGAAGCTAAACAAATGAGATCCACCCAGTCACCACCACCACCACCTTCACCCTCCACCCCACTGCTCAGTCGATGAACCAAAAGGGCCTAAAGTACTCTTACCATTTATCATTAAAAACAGAATAAATGTTTTAGCATCTAAAACCAAGATTTATCTCTGGTTGTTAAAACAAAAAATGTGTTTAAGAAAGTTTTACTTACATTCTATCTGGTCACAAAGTAACATCCAAAAAAAGATAATAGACTGACAGGTACAAAAAAAAAACCAAATCCATCGTCCTCAAGTCGGTTCTGACTCATGGCAATCCCATGTGTGCCAGAGTAGAACTGCACTTCAAAGGGCTTTCAATGGCTGTAGTCTTATGGAAGTAGATCACCAGGCCGTTCTTCTGTGGCACGACTGGGTGGGTCTGAACCACCAACCTTCTGGTTAGTACCATATTTTTACGCAAATGATGCACACGTTACACGTTTTTTGCCAACTGCGCAAAGCCCCCCGCCCCCCAGTTATTTTCCTAAGTGTGCTATGCCGCGGGTTGTATGTGTGGGTACATTATTTACTTGGGCTGCGTTATCTGTGAAAATATACGGTAGTCGAGTGCAAACCATCTGCATCACCCAGAGACATAAACAGACAGATACAGTGAAATGCAGTCTTCCCCAAATCATGTGAGTTTATTAGAAAGAGCAATATTTTAAAGTTTTCCTCAATATACTAAGAGAGAGAGAGAGAGAGAGTGTGTGTGTGTGTGTGTGTGTGTGTGTGTGTGTGTGTGTGTGTGTGTAATCTAAAGTTGTAATACGCTTCCTGAAAGCAAAAGAGGATATCCATATTTAGGGCTTAGTTGTTGAAGTATTCTATATGGAGTTGGCATATTGATATGCCAATTTATGGAAGAAGTAACAGCTTACACTCACGTTACTCACAGCAACTCTTTAGAAAGTGGTTTTTTTTTTTTTTTTTTTTTAATGAACCAAATCAGTATGCCTCACATCCTTTCCATGCCTTTTTACCTTGTTTATAAGAAAGTTATTTTGGACGCAAGTTATTTATCTCTGCTTCAGTTTCTCCATATGCAACACGAAGATAATAAGAGCATCTCACCCCAGAGGCTTGCTGTGCACAAGGTTAAGTTCACAGCTATGAACAGCCTAGATGAGTGTGCCAGGCACGCAGTCAGCCTGCAGAAGGAGAGCTACCATGATCATCACCACCATCATTACCACCACCAGCACCACCACCTACCACTTTCATGAGCACCTCAGGCGAACTTCACTAAAAATGCAGATTCCTGGGCCATGCTCCCAGGGATTCTAATCTAATATCACACCAAAGTTTGAAAATATTGATTTAAAGAGAAATAGATGAACACGCAAGAAACTGTTTGTACAAACACGAGCTTATGAATATAGCTTGTAAGAAACAAATATTTCAAAACAGTTTTACTTCCTTCTCCAAAGCACACATACTCCATCTCCAAAGGCAAGTTATTTTCCAAGGACTCAACTATGCAGAGTTGAAGAAGCTTACACACTTCATTTCTTCTTGGGTAGATAACCGCTAGCAATGTTACACAAAACTTTTTGACCAAAGCAACTATGAAATATTTGAGCACTCACTATATGTAGCGTACCCTGCTGAGTGTTAAAGTGGACAGAAGCATGAGACATGAAACTCTACTCTCAAAAACCTTGGAATCTCATTGTGAAAGTAATCTCCCACCTTCTTCTAAGTGTCCCTGAAGACTTGTTTCAGCAACACGAGTAGTGCGAGTTAGGAGCTCAGAGAAGTGATTTTAGTTAGGGGCAACAAGAAAGGCTTCACAGAAGAGACAAGATCTTTGCTAGACTTTAACTCAGAAACCCTATGGGGCAGTTCTACTCTGTCCTACAGGGTCACTATGAGTTGGAATCAACTTGATGGCAACGGGGTTTTGGTTCACAAAGATTTGTATCAGCAGGGAGAAACTGCATTTCAGAAAACAGTGTGAGCAGAAAGCAGAAACATGGAAGTGAGAATGTTGTACAGGTATTTCCAGAGAGTACATATACTGCA